CAACAACTCATCGGAGCATCGTGTGTCCCCGAAGCTCGGTTTTTAAAAGGCACTGGTGTGCGCCAGCGTCTCGTTGTCGTCGACAACACACATTTTTAGAATCGGTTGACTTCGAGTAGTGTCAGTGAACATCGACTAGCGTCGATTAGCGTCGATTCGCGTCGATCCGCATGATACAGCAGGACGACATGGGAAATTCCGATGGGTTGTCACCGAAGGGGGGATACATAGGAGACCGGGGCTGCGCAAATTAGGTGCGTTCGCGCCATATGTAACACCTTCGCCTTCCCTCGCGTCCTTGCCAACGTATTGTTTTTTGGGGTATCCGCGGACGCGTGTCACAGCGGACATGGTCATGCCAAAAAGATTGCATCGTGCACTGCGCCACTGGAACATCGGAGCTGTGAAATGAAAAGGAAGAGGAAGAGGACGATGTGGCGGATGAGCCGGAAGGGTGAGGACGATCAACAGCAGTAGGAACTGTGATAGAGGGAACGGGAGGAACAGAAGGATCAGGGATAGGCGGGGGAGGGGAACGGAGAGGGGCGACAATGATGAAAAATGATTAGGATACAAAAAAGCGGCCCTCGCTGTGCTGACAGTGTCATTCCGCCCAGATCTTGCAATGACATTTGCGTTACAGTGGGGGCGCCATGCTTGAAGGATCGAGGGCGTTCGGGTTGGAAAAGCGCAAGAGAAGCATCAACCTGGCACCGTCCGGTGTGTAAGAAACAATACGTGGATGGGGGTCGGGCCAATCCCCAACCGTCTTTCGGGGGAGATGAGAGCAGTGTTCGTATTGAGGAATGGTGAGCGGGGGGATGGGGAAAAATGCATCGGCTGGCTGGCCGGTGGTGGCCCATTGGGCAGCAAATTGGGGCGACGGGGGGGTAGCGGAGAGGGGGTGGTAACGGCGGGAATGGCGAGAGGAACGGGGCAGGCGGGCAGGGCTGAGCGGGCGCGGCGTCGGTGCAGCACCGGTGTCACGTCATGCACGAATGCAGCTACATCGCCGCGGGCTCGCTGCATGGACGTGTGCACGCAAGCGTGTAGATCTGTTGGCGCGTCCCGCAGCCGCCAGGGCTGGAGCCTCGGGAAGACCTTCGACACGCCCCCTGTGTAAGCTGCCCAGATGGGGTCCGAGGATCGCGCAGTATCGCCGATGCATTGACAATGCGGCTCGATTCGGGGGCCGATTTTCTCCACGCTGACGTGGCCGATTCATCGGCAATGTGGCGCGATCCAGGAGGCCTTTGTTCCCGGACCCCCTTCCTCGGAAAAGGTCTCCGCCCCAGATCCGTTGTTGTTCGCGTTTGGACCCGAAATGGGCCCACAATCGCCGAAATGAAGGGAGTACGCTCCCTCAGGCTTCCCTCCGGACCCCGTCTTCAGGCTTCCTTCAGCACGCTTCCTCCAGCACGCCGACGACGACGGGACCGCGCAAGATCACCGCGTAATGAAAGTTGCACGCTCCCTCCTCAGGCTTCCCTCAGGACCCCGTCTCTGAACCAACGGGATTGTCCCGCAACAATGCCCCCGTGCGCCAGCTAGAGAACTCGCCATTTCCACGTCGCGGAGTTGGCCGCTCCTCGCGGCGAGCGCGCGCCTCCGTGGCGGGCAGCCCCACGCCGACGACGCCGACGCCGACGCCGACGACGCCGCCGCCGATGATGACGACTACGACGACGACGAAGATGACGACGCCGAGGAAGAAGACGACGATGACGACGACGCCCACGCCCACGCCCACGCCCACGCCCACGCCGACGCCGACGCCGACGCCGACGACGACGACGACGACGACGACGCCGTCGCCGACGACGACGACGACGACGACGACGGCGGCGACGACGACGACGACGACGACGAGGTCGACGACGCCGACGAGGCCGACGACGCCGACGACAGCGATGCTGCCGACGACGACGACGACGGCGATGCTGCCGACGACGACGACGACGACGACGACGACGACGACCACGACCACGACCACGACCACGACCACGACGACGACGGGACCACGCAAGATCACAGCTCGAGAGCCCGTCGGCCTCAGCGAGCGCCGCCCGCCGCGGCGCCGCGCCGTGGGCCCTCCGCGGGCGCCGCCGCGCTGCACCTCACCGCCGCAGCGCACCGCGGCGCCGACGACGCCCCGCCGCGCCGCCCCGTCGGCGCCCTCTCCGCGTGCGCGCCGCCCGCCGCAGGAGGGCGCCGGCCCGCCCGCCGCCCGGCGCGGGCGCTGCTGCTGCCCGCCTGCGCCGCGCTGTCGGGGGCCCTGCTGCTGCCCGCGGCAGCTGCTCTTCTCGCAGCCCCGGCGCGCCCAGGCTCCTCCTCCTCCCCTCCTCCTCCTCCTCCTCTCCTCCTCCCCTCCTCCTCCTCCTCCTCCTCCTCCTCCTCCTCCGCCTCCTCCTCCTCCTCGTCCTCCTCCTCATCCTCATCCTCCTCCCTCCTCCTCGAGTTTCTCTCCTCTCCCCTCCTCCTCCTCCTCCACCTCCTCCTCCTCCTCCTCCTCCTCCTCCTCCTCCTCCTCCTCCTCCTCCTCCCGACCCGGCGGCGGCGGCGGCGGCTGCGCACCGCCACTCACCGAGCGCGTTCCGCCTTACTCGCCAGGTGGGTACTCGCAGTCGTCCGAACAAGAACGGGTGTGCTCCGATGTTGATGGATCGTAGATCCTTCGCGGCGGCTGCAGGCCACTCGCGAGTAGTCACTTTGCGAGTAGTGGAACGCGCGTGTCGAACCCCCGATCACCGAGGAACGGTTTCTTCCATCTAGTCCTTCCAGATGGGGTCGGAGTAGGTGGGGTCGGAGGATCGCGCCCACGTTGCCGATGCATCGCCGACGTCGCCGATGCATCGCTGATACATCGCCGATGCGGCGGGGTCCTCCGACCCCATCTAGTCGGACCCCACTTGTGAGGCCTCCATCCACCCAGGCTTTCTATTTTGGGGGGCGGATCTCGGCATCTGGGGCCCGTGTTCGTGCCTGGGTGCCATCAAAAGTGGATCCCGAGGGAGACTCTGGCCTCGGGGAAGTGTGGTCGGGGACCTCTAGGGCCGCGCATGGAGAAACGAACACATCGCCGGATGGCTGGGACGGCGAGCCATTCCACGGCCGCGACCACGACGGCCCGAAGTCGGCCGGGAGCGGCCGTCGCAGTTTGGTTTCCCCCCTCGGTGTGGGTCAGAGGCTGCGGCCCGCAGGCCGCGGAGGGCCTGCAGGGGACCTCGCCTCCTCTCGCCCCTCGCGGAGAGGATCTGGGCCCAGAGGCCCCGACCCCTTCCGGAGCGGTCGTGAGACCTCGAGGGCCGCGCACTGAGAGCAGGAGTGAACGCACGTCGTCCACGGGCCACGGCGGCCACGGCGGCGGCGAGCCCCGACGGGGGCGGCGACCCACGACGGCCACGGCGGCGGCCGCGACCGCGACGGCCTGGAGCCGGTGGCGTTCGCTCCCCACGAGGATGCACGTCGGCCGGGCGTTCGGCCGGGGGATGGAGGGTTTCCCCGAAGGGCTCAGGCGACCCGTCCGACTCCTCCTCTTCCTCCTCCTCCTCCTCCTCCTCCTCCTCCTCCTCCCTCCTCCTCCCTCCTCCCTTCTCCTCCTCGTCGTCCTCCTCCCTCCTCCTCCTTCTCCTCCTCCTCCTCCTCCTCCTCCTCCTCCTCCTCCTCCTCCTCGGGCCGCCTACGGCCCCGGGGGAAACCGTGCAGCAGGGGTCTCTGGCTTCCCCTGCCCCTACATGAGCCAGAGTGGGGGCGCGCATCGGCGTACCTTGAGTTTCTTCGCTCCTCGCGCTGCGCGTGACGCTCCGCGGCCGCGGAAGAAGCTGCTGCGCTCGGGGCGTTCCGGGTTTCCCCTCAGGTGCACCTCGCGCGCGGGTTTTTAGGGTTGGGTGCCTCGCCAGGGTTTCTTGTGACAGCGACTGCATTGTAGAGGTAGTGCAGGATGTGGACCAAGAAAATACTGGGGCCGTGTTGCCTGATGAGACGTTTTTTGCGTCGTCGGGGAAGGCTTCGAACATTTCTCGTCGTCCTCCTCGAAGGAGGAGGCCAAGAGGAGCGAGTTAATGCAGGATGATGTTTAAGAAGTTACCAGGGGTCGTGCTCGCGCCGCGGCGCCTGGACAATCGACGGGCCGAATCCCCCCGCCCTCCTCGGGCGCGCCCAGACAGTCGACGGGCCGAGTCGAAGTGGCAGCCGAAGATTCGGAAACTATTGTGTGAGTCGTTCCCGCCACATTCTTGTGTCCATCGACATCTTACACTGGAGGAAGACATGACCCCGATACCGCCACTCTTCCCTCGTCGCCGCGGCCGGAGTCGCCTCGAAAGTCTGGCCAGGACGCGCTCCGGGAGAGGTCCACGCAGCAGCGGCATGGGTAAGTCTTTTGGGGCGTGAGAGGGGGTCTCTGGGCGGGGCCCCTGGGGCCGCCGCGAGACGGCTCGGGAGGAGAGCCCGGTCCTGGAGCAGCAGGCCCCCGATCTTCGGGCGGGTGGCAATGGGGGGCGGCCTGCATGGGGGGGCGGGGTGAAGAGGAGGGCCCGGCAGGGGCACCTTGGGGGCCCCCTTTGGGGCTCCTGCTGGCTCCGGCCTTCCTCCCCCTTTTCCTTCCTCCCTCCTTTCCTTCCTCCCTGATGCATCCCTTCCACTCCCCCCTTTGGACGCCCGAGTTATCCGGGATAGCTGCTGTCCGGGGTAACTCCGGTTTGGAACCCCGAGGCGCGGATCTGTAGGTCCCCTTGACTGCACCCGGCTCTAATGACTCGAAAGGGTTGGACGCCCGAGTTGTCCGGGATGACTGCGGTGCAGGGTAACTTCGGTGTGGGCCCCCGAGGCGCGAGTCTGTAGCTGTCCCTGGCCACCCCCAGCCCTGATGATTCGGATTCCCGCCCCCCCTGCCCCCCTCCTCGGGTCAAACATTCGGCCTGGCGAGGCGGCGCGAAGCGGCGGCCTGAGAGTTTCGGCGCACGGGCGCCCCAGCTTCCGTGCCCGCATGGCGCCACAAGGGCCCCGTGCGCCGCTTTTCTACGCCGAGCTCTGCGGGCGCCTCGGCGCGCGGTGGGTTCGCGCCGGGGCGTCCCTGTTGCACGGTCGTGGGGCGCTTGAGGTAAGGCTCCCTCTGCAGCGACTGTTGCACAGGGGGGCCGCCCTTTTCCGGGTGGGCTGGGCACGGGGGTGGACTTGGTTTCGCCAGTCCACCTCGACCGTCGCCCCGTCCCCCTTGCACTTGCCGCGTTTGCCTGACGCTCGCAGCGGGTTCGACCTGGGGTCCCAGTGGCCGTCCTTGCCACTACTGCATGTTGTCGGCGTCCCCCTGTTGCACGGCCGTGGGGCGCGGGAGGTGATGCTCCCTCTGCGGCCACTGTTTCACAGGGGGGCCGCCCCCCGTGGGGTCTGGGCATGGTCGTGGACTTGGTCTATCTAGCCAGTTCACCGCGACCGCTGCTCAGCCCACACCCTTTCTTCCTCTGCCCTTGTGGGCGGCGGAGTGGCTCGGTTTTGTCTTTCGGGCTTCGAGTTCGGCCTCGGGGCGGTGCTCACCCGTGCCGGCGGACCCGCTGCAGGGCTCTCGCCCGTTGCCGCCAGCTCTCGTCGCCGCTGCTTCGGACTGCACAGTGCCAGTTGCAGGCTGGCTGGCGCCCTCTCCCCGCGCTGTCGCGCCTCTCCAGAGAAACGGATGGGTTCGCGCCGTGTCGGCCGGCGGCAGCCCCGCCGCCCGCGTTGAACGGAGAATGTTGGCGGCGGCCCAGAAGCGGTCGATGTTGAAGAATCTGACGTTGCGGGAACGGCTAGGAACGGGAATGGGAGGAGGAGGAGGAGGAGGAGGAGGAGGAGGAGGAGGAGGAGGAGCGAGGAGGAGGAGGAGGAGGAGCAGGAGGAGATGTAGGAGGAGAGGGAGGAGGAGGAGGAGGAGCGAGGAGGAGGAGGAGGAGGAGCAGGAGGAGATGGAGGAGGAGAGGGAGGAGGAGGAGGAGGAAATGTTGTCAAAAGCCAGCGCCGAAGTCGGCATGACGCGAGCTCGCCGCACCAGACGACTCGGCGCCCGCCCGCAGGCGCAGCACCAGGCCGCGGGCGCGGCCGCGGCGCAGGCGCTCGTCGCGCGGGAAGGCGCCCCCCTCCCGGCTTGGGCAGACCGCGCTGCGCGCGACCCGCCGGCGCGAGGGTGGGAACTCATCATCGGGCTTCGCTTCCTTTGTTCTCCTCTGGCTTTCCCTTCCCCTCTTCATCTGTTATCCAGCGTCGTACTCCCCAATGGAGTTCCCCCCTTCGCACTCCAGCTCGCCCCTCTTTCACTTGGAGCCTCCGAGACCCTCGTCCCAGGCAGGACCTGTGCCCCCCCCTCTCCCCAAACAAGAGACGATCCCCCGAGACCGCCCTGCCCCCCCCTACCAGCCTGTCCGGTTCAGAACGAAAGAGACGCGGGAGAGCAGGAAAATACGGCAGCAGTCGGGTGGACGTGCGGCCTGCGCCACTCTCGCTCGGAGGTGGAAGGTGCGAGGGCCCTTCCCTACCTATAGGACCCCCCCCCAGCCTAGAGGCCAAACTGCGGCCATAACCTCAGTACAGTTCACGATCAGGGTGCTCTCGCCGAGGCCTCTTGGGGCGTCATCGGGGCCTTTGGTGGGGCCTCTGAGGTCGTCTTGGGAGTCAAGTGGGAGCCTTTGGGACGCATTTTGGGGGCCAATTGGAGCCTCCTGGGCACCTGTTGGGGCTCTCTTGGGGCACCCTTGGGATCCTCGGGGGCCATCTTCGAACATATCGATCAAAAGAGGAGAGCTCCCGCATTAGGGCGCCCGCCCAGGCGGCCAACATGTGGCCAAAGCCTTGATAACTTCAGTGATTCTGGCTTCCTCGCCGAGGCCGTTTTGGACTCTATAACCCCTGGCGGCCCCTCCGTCCAGACCCAGGGGGAGGGGTTAGTTGGAGGGGTCAAGACACCCTCCTAGTTAGCAAGCCGTATATCTCACTCCCACCCGCCCTCCCGACACAGAAGTTACAGTTACACCCGAGCCTCAGCATGTTCAGCTGTCGTCTTTGCATGGGCAGCTCGTGGGAACCAGCACCGACCCCATGTGCGCGACGCTGGGGCGAGGTGCGTCACGCGTGCCAGGCGCGCCACGAGCGCCAGGCAGCCCTGGGGCCCGAGCGTGCCAGGCACGCCTGGTGCGACAGATGCGCCACGTGCTCCACGTGCGCCAGGTGTGCCACGTCCGGGGAACGTGCAGAATGTGTCAGGTGCGCTTGAGCACGTGACAGCACACATCGGGAAACATGTTGGCGCCCACCATGCTTGTCGAAAGCCAATGCCCAACATGGTTTCTGGTGGGCCTGCACACAGCAGGCCATACGCCACCACTCCCGCCTTCCCTTTCAAAAACCACTTGATAGTGATCGCGGGGTGGCCGCTCATGATCCAGATTTAGCCGCGAGGTACACTTGATAAGTCTTTGGACAGGGATGGTGGCCCTGCACAAAGCAGGCAATCTGCTGGCACCCTCGCCGTACCTGTCAAACACAATGCCAAGCATTAGCTGGTCTCACGAACATGACTCGAGACTTTGCCCCAACGAGCACGTCACATAGTTTTTGACAGGGATGGTCGGGGGGGGGGTGCCGCATCGGGTTGGTTGCGCATGCTCCGAATTTGGAGGCAGAGCGTGTTTTGTATTTTCGTTTGACAGGGATTGGGTGGTTGTGATGATTGGGTCGGCATTGTTCCTGGTTGGCTGCCGGTCTCCTGGGGGAGGGGTGTATACTCATAGGGAACAGCAATAAACCCTTCCCGGAGGGGAAGCCGGGGGTCGAAGGAGGAAACTCGCTAAACCACTCACGCCCGAAAGGCCTGGTGGGATTCTTGACGCTCAGCGAATCCCCACCAGCCAACCCGACAGCAGGCATCAGGCGAGCTGCCCTGATCAGGGAGGGACGTGCAGCAGCATGCCTTCACGCCCTGGGAGCCTCTCGGTGGCATCGTGGGGACCCTGGTCGACCACGTGACCTTTCCACCTCTCCCCCCCCCCCGTGGCGGCGGCGCGCCCCAGGACCGACTGCCGCGCCCACGCGGCGAGGTGCCGCGCTGCTGCCCGGGGCGCTCGCGGCGCTGCTGCCGGCCGCCCCCGCCGCCCACGCCCTGGAGGACGCCACGCCAGCGGCATCCAGCGCCAAGGCGCCTCGGCGCGCCGCCGCCCTCACGACGACGACGACGACGACGACGACGACGACGACGACGACGACGACGACGACGACGACCTCGACGACGACGACGACATTGGGGTCTTTGGAGGCGGCCGTTGTGCTGGGCGCGCGGCCGCAGGGGGCGGACGGCGAGGGAGGAGGAGGAGGAGGAGGGAGGAGGAGGGAGGAGGGAGGAGGGCGGAGGAGGGCGGAGGCGGAGGAGGGCGGAGGAGGAGGGGGAGGAGGAGGAGAGGGAGGAGGAGGAGGAGGGCGGCGGGCGGAGGCATGACTAGGAGGAGGAGGAGGAGGAGGAGAGGAGAAGGAGGAGGAGGAGAGAGGAGGAGGAGGAGGAGGAGGAGGAGGAGGAGGAGGAGGGGGGAGAGGGAGAGGGGGAGGAGGAGGGCGAGGAGGGAGGGGGAGGAGGCTCCCTGGGCCGGGGGCGTGGTGGAGCTGGGCTACGTTCTCCCGCCACGGCGCACGACCTCCCGGCCAGTGCGCAGCGGTGGTGGCGGGAGGTCGCCTGGGGCGCGCGGCCACGCCCAGGCGCGCCGACCTGCCCCCCCCTGCGGGCTAGAGGCCTCCTCCGTGCAAGCAGGGGCGAAGCGCTCTGACTCTTGGCATCGCTCGGGCGTGTGCATGTTTTCTCTGCGGGGGCCATCGAGGCTCATCCTGGAGCATCGAGCTGGAAAAGCCCGCACGAAGCCGAAGCATGCGCGAAGAGCGGACGTCCGAGCGACGGCAAGGACTCGCCTGTAGGCCCACCACATGACGTTCGGATATAATACTTGTGGCTTGCACGAGGCGCTCTTGAGACATTTCTGGCCGAGATGGTCTTGTGTTTTAGCACGTGGGCTTCTTGTTCAAGAGCAGTGTGTTTGTTGTTAGAACATGTTTTGCCCGAGAAGACTTCGCGGTAGGCCTATGGCACTTGGTGGGCCTCGGAAACGACATGGCAGTTTTTGTTACCGATTCCGTTTACCCGTTTTTTGCAGGTTCCGACGCCGTTGTTGTTTTTTGGTTCCTTCGCCGTTTGTTTAAACGGTTACAGCTCCAGATTCTATCTTGGAGCCGTTTTGTTTGCCGTTTCCGGTCGCCGTTTTTGTTCCAGTTTCCATTTCAAGAGACATTATTTTGGACATTGAGAATAAATTAGTTTGCCGTTTCTGGGGCCCACTAAGCTATGGCAATGCTGGGATTGCCAGTATCTGCCCAACACGTGGTCAGAAGAGCAAAACGCACCGATGCTGTTGATTACGTTTCTACCGTTTTCGCTTTTGTGAGCCTCCTGGGGGGCACCTCGTCTCCTCGGCAAGATTCGCCTCGAGATTCTAGTCGGAACGCACTCCTGGGGAGGTCTGAGAAGCAGCGGTATCGTTACCTGTTTGTCTCCCACATGGGGTCCGAGTAGAAGGGGGCTGGAGAATCGCGCGGTACCGCCGATGCGTCGGCCTTGCGGCTCGATGTTGAGCCCGATTCTCTCCACGCCGACGGCGCCGACGCACCGCCGACGTCGCCGATGCATCGCCGGGGCATTGGCGATGTGGCTTCCGACCCCGCCTACTGGAACCCCATGTAGGGAGGCGGTCTCTGCTCGACTCCTCCGCGCGGCAGATCCTGAGTGCGGCAGCTCCCACACATGCGATGCAATCGTTGGAAGGCCTGGTTGGTGCATATCACCACTCATTGATGGACGCTGCACAACCTGCCGGGAGGGGGGGGGAGGGGAGGGGACGGAGGACGGAGGACAGAGGATTGAGGAGGAGCGGTGCGCAGGAGGAGCAGGAGCAGGAGCAGGAGGAGTAGGTCCCCCTCCCTGAGCCTTTCCTCTTTGAGATCGCCTAGGCGCTGCTTCCGCCGTGGAGCGACGAGCACCAGCGAGGCTTGGTCGTGCGCCTCAGGTTGGGAAAGGAGTCTGGCCAGTCGACTTTGCCCTTCTAAAGTGCATGTTGCTCGAGAGCAGTTGATATTAAAGAGGCAAACGTGCCCGCTGGACTTGACAGCCGTTAGATGCAGCGACTTGTCTTGGCGATTGTAAGGAGTTAGGCCCCTCCCTCACCTCCCTTTTGGGAGCAGGGTATGGCAAACGGGCATACTGGACTCGATCATATCATGTTTGAGCTGCAGCTTTCCACTCACCAGTCCTGGGACCTTCCTGGGATGGAGTCTCCAAGGGAGGAGCCTCGCGCTGAGCGTGCTCTTGGTCCTGGAACAGATGAGCAACCAAATCATGGGCCCGTGAGATATGTCGAAGCCGCCGTGGAGCGGCGAGCAGCAGGGAGGCGTGATCGTGCGCCTCAGCTGGGGGAAACAGTCTGGCCATCCCAACGCCAAGACGCGGAACAAAGAAAAGTTTGGGTTCGGAAGGGGATCGATGTTCCCAAGGTCTTTCCATGGCTGTTCCTCTAGCCCTCCTCGTGACCCCAGGCTCTGATTTGGTGCCACAAAGGGTCTCCGTTCCTCATTCAGCGTTCCTTATTTCAGCGACCCAACTGTAGCCGGCTCCTCCAGAACTCAACTTCAACTTCCCCCGTTTCCCCTCCTCCCGTCGTTGTCACTCCTCGCTCCCGAACGGGGCCTCCCTCTCGAGCTCGCCAGAACTCGAGTTTGCCGACGCTTTTCGACGGGCCGAGCCCGTGCGGCTGCGTGCGTCCACGAAGCTCGCCTCGCAGCCCAGGCTGCCGGTTCGAGCCGGTCCTGCGAGCCGCCTCGCGGGGTGTCCCCGCTCCGTCCGCGTGCGGCTCGCGCTGCCCCTCGCCCTGCCAGCGTCTCGACTCGACTCGTTTTGCCCTGTGCCTCCGTGGGATGCCTGCAGCGGGAGCTCGCGTCAAACATCAGATTTGGGTCTCGCCCTTTTTCTCCGACGGCCCCGTCGGGCCGAGGCGGGCCCTCCCACACTCGAGAGTCTGGCGACGCCCCGAGCCTGCTCCCTCCTGCCCGCCCTGTCCCCTTCCCCCCTTCCTCCTTCCCTCCTCCTTCCTTCCCTCCTCCTCACCTTCCTTCCCTCCTTCCTTCCCTCCCTCCTCCTTCCCTCCTCCCTCCTCCTCCTTCCTCCTTCCTTCCCTCCCTCCTCCTGCCTTCCTTCCCTCCTCCTGTCCCCGAGCCTGCTCCCTCCCTCCTCCTCACCTTCCGCCTTCTCCCCTTAGCCGGTTTGGCCCAAGCCATTTTGGCTCAAGCAATTTTGGCACACGCCCCAGCGTCGTTCTGGGTAGTTCCAAGAATTCGCTCTATCCCTCGAAGAGTCGATCCAAGAACTGCGGCCTGACAAAACAATGGAGCGCCGCACTGCGGTTGCTCCGCGATGGAATTCAATTGGGTGCAACTCGTGTGCATTTCGTCCCAGGCCACTACGTTGCGACTGTCAGCGCATGCAGAAAAGGCGGGCAATGGCAACACGCGTTGTCAGTGCTCAGTGAGATGTGGGAGGCGAAGCTGGAGCCCAACGTTATCTATACTACAATGCCGGGGGCCGTAAGTGCGAGAAGGGCGGGCAGTGGCAGCCTGCGCTGGCGCTGCTGAGCGAGATGTGGGAGGCGAAACTGGAGCCCGACGTCATCAGCTACAACGCTGGAATCAGCGCGTGCGAGAAGGGCGAGCAGTGGCAGCGGGCGCCGGCGCTGTTGGGCGAGATGCGGCAGGCGAAGCTGGAGCCCAACGTCATCAGCTACAGCGCCAGGATCAGCGCGTGCGAGAAGGGCGGGCAGTGGCAGCCTGCGCTGGCGCTGCTGAGCGCACCGCAGTGCCGCCGCGCTTGCCCGGCCTGCACGGCGCCCCCCCCCCTGGGCGCGGGCCAGGGAGGGGCGGCCGTGGGCCAGGTGGCACGGACGAGCATGCGGGCGTCCCCCCCCCTGGGCCGCTGGCCCGCCGGCCCCGACCGCGTTGGCCCTTCGGCCCCTCGGGGTGGTGGCGCTCGCGGTGGGGCGGTCTCGGCCCCGAGGTGCCCTTCACCACTGGAGCAGTCCGATGAGCAGTCCCTCCTCTCCCCCTCGCCTCCCCTCCTCCCCTCTTCCCCTCCCGCCCCCTCCCCCCCCCCCTCTCCCTCCCGCCACCCCCTCCCCCCCCGCCACCCCGCCTCGCCTCCCCTCCTCCGCCTCCCACGCCACCCCCCCGCCACCTCCTCCCCCCGCCACCCCCTCGCCTCCCTCCTCTCCTCCTCCCCCCCCCGCCCCACCCCTCGCCTCCCCTCCTCTCCTCTCCTCGCCCCCCCCCCCCCCGCCACCTCCTCCCCTCCCGTGCAGTTCCAGCGGGTGGTCGTCAACGTGGGCGACAAGGCCCCTTTCGCGGCGCGGCCGGCCCCCCCTTTCGGCGCCCCCCCAATCGGGCACCGCGGCGGCGCGCGGCGTGGCCTTGCCCTTGCCCCCCGCCTGCCGTTTGTCCGCGGGTGGAGGCTCCTCCGCCCGCTCCCCCAGCATCCTCCTCCCTGCTGCCGCTCCTCCTCCTCCTCCTCCTCCTCCTCCTCCTCCTCCTCCTCCTCCTCCTCCTCCTCCTCTTTTCCGCTCGTAGGGTACGTAACATACGCTCATAGTGGCCAGCGTGGGCCCAAGACTGAAGTCGATGCTTTGCAATCTAGGTGGTGCAAGCAATGTAGTGCAGTCTAGGTGCTGCAATCCATGTGATGCACAATACGTACATACATGTATATGTGTGTAGCTATAGATATACATATATATATGTTTATATGTGTGTATACATATCTGTATACATCTACGTGTGTTGCTGGCGCAAAGCATCGCATATCAACACAACAGAAGTGAGAAGGGGCGGCCCTTCTCAGAAGGCTCTGAAGCCCACCCGGCCTTCTGAGGCGTTTCGTGAGCCTTCAGGGAAGACGCGGACCACTTCCCAGAAGGCGCCAGGGCTTCTGAGAAGCCCCGCCGCCTTCTGAGGAGGCCTTCTCCTTCGCACACACACACACACACACACCCTCGCTCACCGCCGAAATTTCCAACGACCGACGCGTACCGATTTATCTCCCCGGTCTTGGAAGCGACCCTGGGGACCGAGGGCCACCGGCCGGGTGGCAGCAACGAGGCGGCCGAGCGGCCGAAGACCCCACAACATGGGTACCCGTTCCCATACAGTGGGGGCCCATGCCAAGAAACACCCTGCTTGCCTCCAGGGTGCCCTGGGTTTCATGGGTTTCGTGTGGTTCTGCCATGTGGGAAGGCGTGACGTTCCCACCCCAAACATCCGGGGACGTCCTGGGGGCTCGGGGTTGAGTTTCTTGTGGAAGGTGTCTTGTGGCCGTGCCCCTACTGTAGAAGCCTCGTGTGCTCGGGTGGCCGCCCGGGAGCAGGCCAGCGCAGAACGTCATGCCGTTCCCCCACCGTGCCGTTCCCCCCCTGTGCCGTTCCCCCCGCCCCCATTTTTGGCTCAGGGATGGCGCCGTGCCCCCCCCCCCCGCGCTGGGGGGTGGGGCGCGCTTCGGCTCCGGGCGGAGGAGGGGCAGACCCCGCCCGAGAGGGAGGGCCCGCTGTTTCTCGCCCTCGCCCCGGAGGCGTCCATAGACAAGGAGGTCTTCTTCTGGACCGAGGCTGCCGCCCGGTGGCGTCGGGCTTTCTCTCTCTCTCTCTCTCTCTCTTCCGTGTGTCGTTCTGTCTTCTTTTCGTGTTTGTTATCTCTCTCTGTCTCGCGCTTTCTCTCTCTCTCTCTCGCCTTCTCTCTCTCGCTCTCTCTCTCTCTCTTTCGCTTTCCCCCCCCTCTCTCTCTCTCTCTCGCTCCCGCCCGCCTGCGGCCGCTCCCCTTCCGCTCCGCCCCCCGCTCTCCGCCCACCCACCCTCGTCTCCGCTGTCCCCGCCTCTCGGGGCGCTCATTCCCCCCCCTCCCTCCCCGCACGCCCCTTCTCGAGCCCCCTCCTCCACCACCACCAGCACCTGCACTCCCGCCCACCACCAGCACCTCACCTCCTCCGCCACCTTCACGTCGTCCGCCCCTCCACCTCCACCCCGCCGCACAACTGCCGCGTGGTCCCCATGCCCCCCCTCCTGTATCTCCCAGTTCCCATGCGCCGCCTCCTCTCCCCTTTAATCTCCCACCCTCACCCATCCCTCCCCACCTTCTCCTAGCCTTCACCTTCGCCCTCACAACCATCAAAGTCACGGGTCATGGTTGCAAGGGAAGGTAATCTTCATGAGAGATCCCATGATTCTGTCTCTCGACGCGATGTCTTTTCCTGACTCGGCGGGGTGCAGGTGGCCAGCGTTATGTCATAGCTTGAGGTTGCGTAGAAGCAGCGATCTGCGGGGTTGCAAATGTCGAGGTCGAATGCTGGCCTTTTTTGACAGACTCAGCTTCCGTCCTTTGCACTTGCAGGCGCTGGCCAATCGTACCCTTCCAATTGTGACGACGCGGATGCACACCAGGGTGATCACAAACGTATTCTCAGTGATGCATCTGTACGTGAGGCTGGACGGTTTTCGATAACCCTCCCCAGGGGTCGATAACAGTCAAGGAACACATCCAACACTCTTCCAAGTGCACGATTGCTAAGCCTCAAAGTCGCACGTCCATGTGCATGGCCTCAGGTCACTGCACGGTCATGAAGGAAGGACTCCACCTCCTGCTCTTCCCGTTCTCTCTTCCTCCTCCTCGCCCCCCTCGCCCCTCTTGTCCCTCCTGCCGCCCCCACCTCGTCCTCCTGCTCCTCCCTTTTTGTTCCCTCCTCGTTCCGCTCGTCCTCACGCCGCCCGCCTTCGTCGTCCCCCTCTTCGCCTCAGCTCCGTGCCGCCGCGCGGCCTCGATCGGCACGTCCGCTCCGTGCCGCCGCGCGGGCGTCGGGGACGCTCGCCCTGCTGGAGCACTGGGGCACTGGGCAGAGGGAGTGCAAAGACACCAGACTCTGACGACCCACTTCGGGGACCCATTCCCCAGTCCGCCTTTTTCTTGCGCAGGCTGCCGGCGGTCTAGCCGCTGAAGCGTCAACCCAGTCCGCCTCCTCCTCCTCCTCCTCCTCCTCCTCCTCCTCCTCTTGCTCCTGCTCCTCCTCTTGCTCCTGCTCCTCCTCCTCCTCCTCCTCCTCCTCCTCCTCCTCCTCCTCCTCCTCCTCCTCCTCCTCCTCCTCCTCCCCCCCCTCTATCGTCTGCGCGTGCTGCGCGTTCGTCCCACGGCACCACGTCTCGGTCGCAGCTTTCGCAAATTCCCGGTGTGATTCGGTCTGTCGCTGGCCGCTCCCCGCTCCTCCCCGTCTCTCTGCTCCCTCCCCGTCGTTCTCCCTGTCCCGCTCCTCCTTCCCCTTGATCCACCATATCCTGAGAGGGGGCTCGTGTTACCACCACAGCCCGAGAGCGGGTTCGTGTTACTGCTAAAACGCCGCCGACTCGGTCACACCTTCCCCTCTTCCTCCGACCCCCCTTTCGGCTCGCATACTCAAGCACTCACTCACAGTCAGACTCACCCAACTCGGAGTCACTCATACTCATACTCACTCGCACTCAGACTCACTCACACTCAGGCCAACTCACGATAAGACTTACTCATTTCGACTCATCCATACTTAGACTCACTCACGTTCTGACTTGTCGCTCACACTCATACTCGTCTCGAGCGAGTTGCTTTTTCTGGTGGCTTGGACTCTCGGCCTTCAGGGCAGATCGTGAGGACGTCTCGAGTCAGACGCCGGCTATAGCACACCAAGGAGGAGCCACCAGGGATAGTTGCACTCGCCTGTTCGCGGGGGTGTCTCGAGCCTCGTTCTGCACTTCCGACTCCTGGTCATTCAGAGCATTATGACCAGTTCGAATATAATGAGAATGACGGCCGCCAGGGAGGAGTAGGGACGACGGAGGACGACGCGGGAGGAATGAGAACAGAGGACGGAGGAAGAGAAGAGAGGGTCTCCTACGGGGAAGAAGATGAAGAACATGAGAGAAGGCCGCCAGGGACGAGGACACTTGCCAGAGAGGAGATAACAGGAGTGATGACAGAGGAATAGGGAGGACGTGGAGGAGGAAGGAAGATCTCACAAGAGGACAGAGATGAACGGCCACCAGGGAGGACTAGGAGGAGGAGGGATGACTGAGGATGAATGAGGAGGGACATGGGAGGCGGGAGGAAGAGAAGGGAGAGGCTATGCTATGACGAGCAGGAAGAGCAAGGAGAGGGGAGGGGGTCTGCTCACCGCCTATCTGTGTGTGAGTTGTCGTCGTCGTTGACCCTGGTCGTAGCCGCCGGCTTCGCCGCTGTATCCGTCGTTCGCTCGAGTTCACGCTCACACCCAAACACTCACACCCATCCAGTCACAACGGACGTGCTAGAACATGAGGTTTGCATACGTGGATGTCTGCGTCATGATGCGCCGAGAAAGTTTCAAAGAGCCTTGCCCCAGGGAGCATCTGAGGCGTATTGTTCTTGGGCTTCGGCCGAAGGCTCTGGCCCGAGCACGGCAGGCAGCGAGGGCCTCGGGAGAGTTCTTGTGCAGCACATGGCCACAGAACTGCCCAGTGCATCCTGTCCTCCACTCTCCCGCTCCCCTCCCTGTCGCTCCCTCGTCCCTGCCCCTGGTCGCAGGCTGCCAGGATGAAGGTCATCAGCGACAAGGACCGGGCGGCCCCGGGGAGCATCCGGCGGGGGAGGTGCCCCACTTCGGGGGGCCTGCGGGCAGCGAGGGGCGAGGCGCGCGAGGAGGGCGAGGCGAGGAGGCGGGAGCGGGGGAGGGGGGGGAGGGGGCGAGCGGAAGCAGGGGCGGGAGGCGAGCGAGGAGAGCGAGCGAGAGAGGAGTGCCACTGGGGACGGAGGGCGGACGCAGGAGGAGGACGACGAGGGGAGCGGGGAGCGGGGGAGAGGGAGGGGAATGGGGAGGGGCGGGGAATGGGGAGGGGGGGAGGAGGAGGAGGACGGGACGGGAGGGCGCCGGGAGGGAGGGCTCGAGAAGAAGCGGGGGCGGGAGGAGGAGGAGGCGGCGCGTGGAAGGGGGGGCAGGCGTGCAGGGCGAGGAGGGAGCGAGGCAGAGGCGAACGTGCTGCGTCTCGCGATTTTTGTTGGTACCCATGGGCTCGTGGGTGCCAATCCTCGCAAAAGGAGGAGGAGGAGCAGCAGCAGCAGCAGCCGCAGGAGGGCAGCATAGGGAGGGTCGAGGAGGGGGGCGGGTTGAGAGAGGAGTGAGGGGGGACAGGCGAGGAAAGGGGATAGAGAGTACAACCAAGGGAAGAGCGTCTCGGACAGGGGGAGAAGCTGGGTGCGCTCGAGGCACATCTCACATCCTGCCCCTTCCTTCCTCTCGTTGCCGTTGAGCTAGATCCCTTTTGAATCCACCTGATGGGGTGTCCAAGAGGATCCTGGCGCCCGAATTGCAGTTGCAGGATTGGACCCATTGTTTGCGTTGCAATCGGAAAGAGTGGCTTTCAACTGCGCAATCGGCAATCGGGAGTGGTGGCTTTCAGTTGAAGGGGGAGACGGATCGGATGAGCAGGAGGAGAAGGAGGATAAAAAGAAAAAGGAGGGCGAGGAGGAGGGTGTGGAGAAGACGGGATAACGATTGCAATTGTGGCCCGCACTTGGAGGAGAGCGCCGTTCTAAACGACGGGGGCACAGCACCGATCCTGACCTGTGGGCAACGCAGTAGCGGGATTACCACAATGAAGGACCAGAGGCGTTCGGATTGCAACAGCAAGAACAGAGTACGTTTCAATGATGGAAGCCTGCATTCGCGAGAGAGGCAAGAGCAGGGCTGCACATTGCGCAGGGAGATTCGAGAGCAGGTTGCAGTTGTGGAGCCGGATGGGAATAGCATGAGGAGGCGGCGGAGCTTGAGGTGATTTGGTTCGGGGGCCCTAACCCTGAGGAGGCGGAGGATCAGGAATGGCATGGGGAGGATTCAGTGACAAATAATGGGAGCTTTGTAGGTCCTCGTAATTTCGTCTTCAGAGTGCATTCGCGTGCGATCGCGCCTTGTAGTCGATGATCAAATGCCGATCCAGCATATATTCGCGTCGACTTAGCTTCGAGGAGCGTCGGTTAGCGCAGATTCGCCAGGGCCAGCAAGATGACATGGGAGGCCCCCATGGCTTCAGCATGGGAGGGAGGAGCGCAGTCAGGAGAGCAGCAGCAGCGGGAGCGCGGCAGGCGTGGGCCTCGAGGGGGGCCTCGGAGCGGCGGCCAGAGCACCCTCGGCGACGCCGACGGCCGATGCCGAGGCTGCCGCTGCTGGTTTCGCAGTTCCCCCTCCTGCACGTCTCCTCCTCCTCCTCCGCCTCCTTCTCCTCATCATCCGTATCTTCCGCCTCGTCCCTCTTTCCTGCGTGCCCGTCCCCCCCAAGAGCTTCCTCCTCCCGCTCTTCTTCTGCGTCTTATTTTTCTTCTCCCCCTCCTTCCGGCTGCTCCTCCCCGTGCTCTGGCTGCTCCCCCCCTCTCTCCGTCTCTGTTTCTCTCTCGCCTCTTGCTCCTCCTCGGGCTCACCCCTCCCCATTCCTGCCCCCGTCGCCCTCTCCACGCTCCCCCTCCCCCTCCTGCTCTCCTCCTGCTCTCCTCCTGCTCTCCTCCCGCTCCTCCTGCTCCTCCTCCCCCTCCTCCTGCTCTCCTCATCTCCTGCTGCCCCTCCTGCTGCTGCTCTTTCCCCACCCTCCCTCATCTCCAGCGTCCTAGGCGGCACGAGGCGTCGCGCCGAGGCTGCTGCCGAAGGAAACCCCCCGCGAGCTCTGCCTCGTCTTGCCCTGCTGCCCCCCCTGCTTCCAGAGGCGCCGCTCGATCCCGCAGCGCGCGGCCGCCGCCGCCGCCGCCAGCCCCGTGCCGCCGACGGGGAGGTCGGCGCAGACGGCCTGAGGTCCGTGGTGCTCGGCTACCCAGGCGGGACGGGGCGAGTGCAGCACGAAGGGGCGGCGGTCGGGCGGGGCTAGGGCGAGGAGGAGTCCGTCCCAGGGCGTTCCGGAAGGCTCTCAGAGCGATCCGGCCCCTTTCCTCAGAGGCAGGAAGTGTGGTTGGAGGGCAGGACAGCGGACAGGGGGGGAGAGGGAGGGAAGGAAGGGCGCAGGAAGTGGAAAAGAGATACGTACGCAAGGGCGAAGGCAGAGGGAAGCAGCGAGCAGCAGGGAGAGCAGAGCGAGGGGCGAGGCAAGCGAGAAGATGGCACGACCATGTGGGCGCTCGTGCGGCGCGGACGGTTCGCGGCCCAGCGTTGGTCGTTTCACCCCGTGTCGTTCGGGACCTGCCTCTTTGGAGTCAGGCCGGCCCCAGGCTGCCGTGCGCCCTCCTCCTTCCGCCGTGCGCACCCCCCCCTCTTCCGAGGCGATAGCAGCGGTGGCGCCCTGCTCGAGGTGAAGCTGGACCCCGCCGTACTCAAGAGGCGGGCGGGCGGCCGGGACCGGACCGAGCTCCTCGGGAGGTGTTGGACAGGGCTGCTGCTCGTCCTCCTCCCTCCTCCCTTCTTCCTCACTCCCTCCTGCTCTTCCTCCCTCCACCCCTCTTCCTCCTCCCTCCTCCCTCCTTCTTCCTCACTCCCTCCTGCCCTCCCTCCTCCCTCCACCCCCCTTCCTCCTCCCTCCCTCCTCCCTTCCTGTTCCTTCCTCCTCCTCCTCCTCCTCCTGGAGGGGCGAGGGGCGGAGCTCCACTGATGATGCGGAGGCTCGTCGGGCGGCTCCGCCTCCTGCCCTCCAGTCAGGCTCCCTGCCCTCCCTCGTCTCTGCTCCCCTCCCGGCCCTCTCTTCCCTCCCCGTTCCCTGCTCCCCTCCCCGTCCGCCGCGCTTCGTCACGCCACTCCGCATGCCCTGCCTCCCCTTCGCCTTCCCATCCCCCCCCCCGGACCCTTCCCCTCTTAGCCCCCCTCCCCCTTCCCGCTCCGTCACCCTGCCCCTTTCTCCCCTCCCCCCTCTGTACCGCTCTGCCGAGTACAGTGGGGGCCCATGCCAAGAAACACCCTGCTTGCCTCCAGGGTGCCCTGGGTTCCTTGGGTCCCGATTGTTTTGCCATGGAAAGCGTGACGTTCCCACACCAAGAATCGATGGACGTCCTGGGGTCTCAGTGTTGGGTTTCTTGTGGAAGGTTTCTTGTGGCCGGGCCCCTACAATAGAAGCTTTGGGTGCTCGGGTAGCCGCCCGGGAGCAGGCCAACGCAGAACGTCATGCCCTCCAGGCTGTGGTGTGGTGTGCTGGATGATGGATGACGTTCTGGGCCCTTCTGGATATTCCCCTCCTTCTGCCCCCCTCCTCGTCCTCCTCACATGGCCTTTGGGAGCGCCTCCGCGCGAAAGACGCAAGGGATACCACGACCGACAGGCAGTGTCTCCGACTCGCACGCTGAGTTGGGCTACACTTGCCCCAACCCTGACTTCGGGCCGCTGTCCTACCTACCTAGCCTTTGGAGCCTATGGAGATCCCCCTCCTCCTGTGGCAGCGGAAGAGGAGGAGGGGGGGAGGAGGATGAGGAGGATGAGGAGGAGGAGGAGGAGGAGGAGGAGGAGGAGGAGGAGGAGGAGGAGGAGGAGGAGGGGGAGGAGGGGGAGATGGAGGAGGAGGAGGAGGAGGAGGAGGAGGAGGAGGAGGAGGAGGAGGAGGAGGAGGATTAGGAGGAGGATTAGGAGGAGGATTAGGAGGAGGAGGGAGGAGGAGGAGGAGGTGGAGGAGGAGGATGAGGTGCAGGAGGAAGAGGAGGAGGAGGAGGAGGAGAGGAGGAGGAGGAGGAGGAGGAGGAGGAGGAGAGGA